AACCAATACATAATAAAAGTGTTGGGAATAATCTTAAAAGAAGAGCACACCAAAATATATCAAAACACAACTGATACTGCAGGAATATCTAAACCCTCAAGAATGCAGGAATTAGGTATTAGAAATGTTGACACAGCCATGGATAGGACATTCCTGCCAGGAGGGCATCCTGACAACTCCTCTCAATTTCAGGTATCAATTTACAAAAAAGTCAGCAAGTCACAAGACAGAAACTTGCAAAACAAATCAATGATAATCAACATAAAGGCATGTTCTCACATAACAAACCTAACACTAGAGACTGACAGGAAATGTTCAATGAAAATAAAGAGACCGAGCCTTAAATTAACCTAACCTGCCTGTAGCCACAAGAGTGGTAAAGCCACAAAAATCTCACAGGTGCCCATGTGTGAGTTTCATTTGCACAATCTGAATCACATGTTTGACAGCCTGTCAGGGTATGTGCTGTCCTGTCTCTTCAAAGGGTAAGGTTTCTCTGTTCCCCTAGCACATAAAGGTCTCAGGAGAGTGAAGCCATGTGATTTCTCTCCGTTCCTTTCGCAGACTAGAAAGAAACCAAGCATGTTACACTTTCCTTCCTTGTTAACAAATGTCAAGTAAAGAGAATGGGATGATTAAAACATCTAACAGCTGCTTCAGAAAAGAACAACACACCATCTTGTTAACTGTAAAATGGCAAAAGTAGCACCATTACTTTTAGTACCCCACTGAACTTGGCACTGCTTCCTCTAAAAACAAGTGGGGCACACTTTCAAACCATACTGCCTAGAACAGCTCTCTAAGTAGGATACCTAAATACCCAGTACACAGCACAGGAGATTACAGAGAATTGATGTCATCCAGTGTAAGTTACTCCTTTGTCATTTTCATTTTAAACATACTTTTGCTACAGAATCTGCCAGACAGATGAAGAGTACACTGGCTAGTGTTTAAAGAGGTTTTTTTTTTCATTTTCTTTTGTGGGGGTACATGGAGTGTGGTGGTGTGTGGAAAGCCCTCTCACAGCACTTGCTCTGCATGGGACAAGCACTGCTAAATTTAACCTAATCTGAACTGTTGACTTCACTGGAGAGGCTTAACCTTAATTTGGAGATACAGGTAGATTTATTAGCTGTCCTTGTTCCGTCCTTCAGCTTTTCCTTATTCACTGAAGGCCACAGCTTCATCAGAAAGTCCAACATAATACAAGACAAGGCAAATCTCAAATAATTAGCTGTTGGGCTTCAGGGGGATTGGGGAAGAAATTTCTTGGAAGTTGGTGAGTGGAAGGAGAGAAAAGGAAGAGCAGACAGCATAGGTTAAGCTGTCTCCAGAAAGAAATCTTCAATTAATGACAATTACTATGGCTTTCATTTCCACACAGTAAACACTGTATGTGACTATTGGGAAAGCAATTCACCTTATGCTGTTAAGCAGGCTATAAATGTAAAAACACATGTGAAGAACCTCAGCATTGAATCCTAATTCCCAAACAGCTCACACACTTGGAAGGCCAGTTTGTTCCATGCCTTCTGCACACTGCTAAGCAGATCCAAAAATAGGCACACCAGGATTTTTGAAACCAAATCATTATACTGATTTTGATTTTTTTAAAAGCTTTGCCCAAGATAAACCATCTTACTTTGTGAGTTCATGATCTGAAAGCAACTGTTTCAGATGCCTAGAAAGCAACTTCTTTTCCATAGAGAGGCGAACCCAGGCTCTGGCCTTGCCAACATCTGTTTTGATCTCACTAATGTTCTGGATATGCCTGTAAAAAAAAGAAAAAGACATGCTTGGTATTGTCAAAGCATGACAGTTCTTTTGAACCAAGCTAGGCTGAAATTTCCCAAAGAACACAAAATATCAGGTAAATTTTAGGAAAAAGAAACATAATCACCTTAATATTCAACACAATAAAAAAAAAAAATCCCTGCAATCTAGCTCAAAGAGAATAAGAGCCTGAAAAAGAAGTATCTGCAATGCAGTGCCCTATTTACAAAATTCTATGCCAGGCCCATTGTCTCACATGATTTAGGACTCATTCTGGACCTTATCGCTGCAATATTTATGGCTGGATGCTTTGGAAAATTAGATATTGTCTTTGCATGCTCAGGAGAAGCTTTTCTTGCACACAAGACACAAATGGTATATTTTAATAAGACAAGCAAATACTCAATTAATTCCTCCCTACTGAAAAAAATGGATGCTGAAAGAAAAAAGAGGGAGTAGAAAAAAGAAGGAATAGAAAATTCCTGTCAAGGTTTTTTCAGAAGTTCTGCATATTGCATTTTTCAGTGTACTGAAAAGAAGGCATTGGGCAGAACCTGTAGTTTTGTTCACGCTACAGTACTGAATGTTAGGTAAACCCATTCTTTAGATCAAACAAGTTCTTTAAACTGCATTCTTCCCTGAGAAGCAAAACTTCAGAACTACGTAACCAACTCAGCAATGACTGGGAAAACACAAACATTACTCCCTCACCTCTGTGGAAATAAACCAATACACAAAATGTTAGAAATATGAAATCTCTGTCGTGTTATTTCCATAAGTTAATACCTCTGACAATATAAAACCTCCTCAGTATGAAACCTATTTCTGTAAAGGTCAATGAAAACACTGAACTATCTACTTTTAAATGGTTCAACAGGTTCCTTCCCCACAGCCCCCTCCTGCTGCAGGAAACACAGGCTTTTCTAGATGGTGTACAGTAGACACAGAAACAAATGTGCAAATCTCAGGGGGTTTCTGGGTTTAACAGTTCAAACTCACCTCATATCCTGGATGAGAGAGATTCTGAGAGGTGACATGGCTGGACTTGTATCAGATTTTCGTCTTTCTGAATCAAGAAGTATTCCTAGATTCAGAAGAAAAAAATTTCTTGTTAGCAGAAATCCATCTAAAGATTCTAAAATCAATATAAAAAAAGNCACCTGCGGCAAGCCTAACACAGGTGGCCACGGAGCCGCTGCCGCCCGCAGGAGCGGGAACAGCTCACACGGAGGGATGGGAACAGCTCACACACAGGAGGGATGGGAACAGCTCACACACAGGAGGGATGGGAACAGCTCACACACAGGAGGGATGGGAACAGCTCACACGGAGCCGCTCGCAGCCCGAGCACACGCGACGCGTCCCAGCCTCATCTGCCTCTGTTCAAGAATATAATATTGACATTTTTACCGTGTAATTACACCCCGCTGCAGAGCGCGAAGGCCGTGCCAAAACTCACGCATCAATCACCCCCATCCCCAACCCAGCCCCATCCCACCTCCATTCCCAGCCAGGGATTTCTCACAGCTGTCGCTCCTTTGGCAGGTAAAATTTGCTCATACATTATTCACTGAAATTATAATTTCTTAAATAATGTCTGACCTTTCAGGCTGCGAGCAAAAGCAGGCTGTACTCTTTTCCACCCCTCCCTCCCATCCCCATTTCACTGCCCTTTCTCTTTTGTTTCGTTCTGTGAGAAATACTGAGCTGTTCCTAGTTGCAAGGGCGGTTTATACACATTAGTAAATCTTCAGAATGAAACTTTCCCTCAGTCTTTGTCTTTGTTTCCTTAACGGCAGCTATAAATTACCTCTCTCCTTTCTCACTGGAGCATCAGGCTTCATTGCTTTTGAAATGATCAAAGTTATTCTCTTTTTCAATCCAATGAGAAGCAATCTTTTGTGTCTCCTGGACGGTTTCAGTCTTAGTCAATCTCATCTATAAATACATAAAGCTGCTCATTTAACACTCCAAGGATTCTCCAGCCCTGCACCATGCCACAATCCTCCCCTCACCAACAGAAAGCAATAAATGAATGAAGGGTTCCTCGGCACTTTCCATGATCTCGTGAATAAACCATCATACTTGGGGTGGGAATTGGCACACCTGCACGTCTCTCATCCCAAATGGATGGAGAAGCCATCTCCCAGCCTGGCACATGACTTCAAGCCACCTTACAGAAAAGCTGGTACACATTTCAGGCACTGTCAAGTTCCCTCAATTAAACTGACCAGTATTAATTTAATTAACATTCATCACAAGATTTGCAAAAGACAAAATAAGAAAATATATGAAGAGTGTAGCAGAAAAACCAGGAAGAGAGAAGGAAGAGTCATGTAACCAAAATATCTAAAGCTGAGGCACTGTTAAAGCAATGCATCTTTCTTACTTCTGTAAACTAAAACATAAAGTGAGACATAAATATTTGGGAATGCCTGAGTTAGATCAAAAGATCTCACTGCAGCTTGGAAAACAAACAGAACAATATCAAATTTATCTTAGCTAATGAAGCCATTCCTTACACATAAATCTCTTAAGTGTTTTGTGAAGGATCCTGGCTATTATTTCACATATAACACACATTTGTTTATGATGAAGAACTGCCATTAAAACATCTCTTTAAAGACACAAACCAGACAAGCTCAGACCTCAGCTTTCTGCAGCCTTTTTAACTATTTCTATTCAACTACAGAGCTACAGTGACAGATGACTGCTCTGGGCATGAAGACTTTTACTGGCAGAGAGAAGATAGAAAAATTCTGAAGATTCAACTTCAGCGCTAAGTATGAGGAAAGAAAAACAACCATACCAGGGAAGACACCCCAGTTTGGGTTTATTTTCAGCAATTTAAAATAATCAAATAACAAAGTTAAATGAGGAAAAGAGCTACTGGAAAACAGCTACTTCCATAGAGATAAAACCCCCAACTCCCCTCTGCTCTCCATTTTCACTGTCACGTGCAGTTGCCTCACATGGAGAGACTGAGAGAGAGCAGCTGGATGTAAAATCTGCTTCAGAAATTGTACACCTGATGTCCTGAGTAGAGATGAGTACTTTTGACTGAAAATTTGGATTAAAAACTGATTTATGCTTCATAATCCTTGTTAAATTTCATAATTTAATGGTGACCAAACATTATTGGAAGACATATAAATTGCCATTTCATCTGCACTTTAATGAGAAGGTGCAACTCTTCTGGCCTGAGCAGCACTTTATCATGTTGACCCAAAATTTAGCATGACTGAGTGAGCATAGTGAGTGCTTGTGCCAGCAGCTGAAAACAACAGGGAGAGCTGGGAGATGCCAGAACAGTAAAAGGAAAATAGGATGCTGACAAGTGAGAAAATACTTTCAAATATTTAATTGTTCCAAAGCACACACAAAATGTCTCACTGCTGTAGTTTCAAGCCTTGCTTATCTCCAGATGTACACTGAGTTTTGAGTAATTGTTTTTCTTTGAAATGTATAGCTCCAATTTTTTGCACTTCCATTTTAGTGTCCAAGCTATCAAATAGGTTATTGAATTTTGTGTAAAAATAACTCATCTTCAGTACTCAGCAGGACCTGCACAGGACTCATCTGAGACAGAGGAAATTTGTGGATTCTCTGGTCAAAAGGGACATTAAAAACCCTCTCATTTAATTTATATGCCTTGTCTAAGTCTTTTTATGCCACTTGTAGAAAAATTTTCCCAAAACATCAGATTCACCACTGATATTATAAATGTAGGATCTGCATCTTAACATGCCACTGTCACTGAAATGAAGAACAGTTCCTGTTTATTGCAGAACTGAGTACAGTATGGCTCATTAATACACACTTCTGAGTTAACAGGGAGAAAAAGGAGACACTTGGTCATGTGAAATAACTTTTAGACATTCAGATTTCCTTGTGAGAACTTTCCAAGTCCTTGCTACAACAAATGGTACCATTTCTAGACTGGAGCAGCCAGTGAACAGTCCCTGCCTGTGCACCCAGCAGCTGCACAGCACACTTTGCCCACCAAGGCCCTGCTCATCCTGCTCAGCTTCCTTTGAGGAAATCTGAAAAACCTGAGGCCACCTGTGCTGAGGTGAACGTGCTTCTGAAGCTGCTCACCCCAGCTCCATCCCAGTGCCCTGCAGGGGAATCAGGAGCAGCAGGGAGCAGAGATGTCCCAGCTCCTGAGGCAGGGCTGGTGTCTCTCGGGGGTACCAACCCCACTACTGCACCCCCAAACCTGCCCAAAGCTGAGGCCAGAGCACCACCTCACCAGAGCATGGCTCAGGCCGAGTTCACCCTCTGGCATCTCCCCAGGGTGACACCACCACTTGTTGGCAGTGCAGGATCACCCCCAGCTCAGGAAGATGGATGTGCTTCCCCCAAGAGGGATATTAACACTTGTTATTTTGCCAGCACAGACCGGGGAGGGGGTGTGAGAGGTGAAGCAACAGAGACAGCTCCAAATTAATGATCCAACTCCTCCCCTTCTGCCTTCCCTGGTGGATAGAACATTCAGTGATGACCTGACACAGTTTGGAACAGAGGGAATGGCAGCACAGCTGAGTGTGTGTGCTCACAGGGACACCCTTCCAAGGTCTGCCTTTGCCTTCCCCTTCTCCCCATCCCCTGATCCCTGAGCAGGCAACTCTTCCTCTGGAGGCAGTCAGACTGACAAGGGTGGCCATGGGGAACCTCAGAGCTGGGAGGGAGGAGCTGTAGTTGAACAGATCAGATACAAAACTGCAACAAAGGTCTCCTGAAAGGAACCACTAAAATGTCCCACAGACCTGCAGCCAGGCAAAGAGGCAGAGAAGCAGCCAAATTATAACAGGCTTTATGAAAATAGCACATTAATGCTATTTTTTCATGTTAGAAGACAAATTTTATTGCAATTCAGCAAATGAGCTACACCTGTAAAACTGCTTTGTATATCCAATTCACATTTAATGTCCAATGGATTGAAATGTCACAGGAAAAATAAAAAAAGGAAAACAGTACCTGGTTTTGTCATTATAATGTAAACTTCAACACGGCCCTTAAGAAAAACAAGCCAGTGATTTCCCCATGTAGTAAAATATATAGTTTATAAGGTATTGATGCTTTATCTTAGTTTAACAGCCAATCTCTAGGTATAAAATAAAGAGCTACAAAGATGTGAAGTACGTGTACAATTTCTTCAAGTATTTTCAAGTATCCTATAGTCTCTTCACTACTGACAAAATTCATTTGACAATATACAGAAAAAGGTTAACTCTGAATAGTTTCACTGCAGAAATCTTAACATATTCATGAATTTAAAACACATAAAAAGTATGGATCATCCAGTAGTAAGTCCCATTTGAACAGTTTGAAAAATACTCTTTGTAATGGAAAAAGTTGTGGAATAGTCTCCAGTTCATGAATATATTTTCAGCTACAGAATATCAGGTGGTTAAAGTTTATGGCAGGTAAAGGCTTTTTTTTTTTTTTTGTATAAACTTATCATCATAGTATTTAATTACATTTAAACCAAGTCTTTATTAACTTGCATTTTCATTTTGTATAAAGTATCATTATAGCATTAACCAAAGAAGCCTAAATAATTGATAGTTGATAGCCTATTTTTTCCTCCCAAATCAGGTATGACCCTGTAAACATGTTTGGCCAGTTTAGCACTATGCATTTACTGCATGATGAACCCCTTATTTTTTTTATCACTGCATTTGTCTCTCCAGAATGAATGTGTGTTGTTAAAAAGATTATCTTTTTTCACTAACTGTTACCAAAAAATCCCCACCAAGCAACAGAACAGCACAGCCACACTAACTGTACCTCCCAAACCTGCCACCTTATTTTGGAAAAGTAACAGGAAAAAAAGTTAAAACTGCATTACTCTGAACAAAGGGAGAAGGATTTTACAAAGCTCTGGATTAAAAGGTACTGACTACATTGTTTGCTCCTATAAATTTCAGCAGAATGGCACAGCAAGAGCAAATGCTGGACCCTAAGCTGTGGGACTGCTGCCAGGAACAGCCATGAGAGAAGTGGGTGGGCTTGTGGTGAACACTGCAGTGGTGAGGGATTTGTGCCTGCTCCTACAGACTGGACTGTTCTTACCCATGCCAGCCAAATC